CAGGAAGCAAGTGGAACCCCAGCCCCACCGCAGAATAGGTAGCGCCCTCCAGAATGGCCTTCAAAGCGGCCCGATCCCCTCTCAGATACAAGCAAACCTGGGACCTGGACGCCACCACAGGGCTTCGGCCTCGGTGCTTTTCTTGTCCCACCATACCAGCAAGCCGGGACTTGTGCTTGTTTGGAGTGGACCTGTTTACCCAATTCAGGAGGTTCCCGGCTTGGGGTGTTCTATTCAAGAACTAGACATAGCTAGCCTTAGGTAGTTTTATTTACTTGGAGTGAGTAAAGGAGACAGGAGATTCACATCCAAAGCTGTCTCCCTAAAGGGAGGCTTAGCCATTACTTATATACACTATTTGGTTAATCACACGTTGATTTCTTCTTTGCAATTGGCTACACTTATTAGGTTGAGTTCCTGCTAAGCCCATCCTGTTTACTGCTGCATCTGTAAAGTACTGTGCTACATTTCAACATTTAGCAAAAATAGCATTTAGTAACAGCTGCCCAGACCTTGATACCCTTGTCCTACCTAATAATTTCTCCCTGAGATTTTTTCACTCCTCATTCTTGAGGGAATGGGGATGATGGCTCATACTTCTATAACTGTTTCCTGCCGATCCTGGATAGAGTACTCTGAGTTAGAGTGAAATCCTCTGGCTGTCTGACTTAGGAAAGTCTTGGGGTCTCCTAGGTTCTGGGATCCTGAGAGCTGGAATAGTGCATAATGAGGACAATACTCTACCAGGAGATATGCACCATAAGAGGCGAGGCGGAAGCAGGGGGGAAATTTAAAAACCGTGAAACACTTGGTAGCGTCAACTGAACTGAAAAATAATATCGACTAGGTGTCTCGTCACCAAAAAGGATTTATTCAGGAAAAAGAAAGGGTTGCAACCCAGTGCATGCAGACGTGGCAAGCCACCTGCACACACTCTGGCCTGCGTGCCAAGATGAAGGGGTATTTATAGAAGGGAAAAGGGAAGTTAGAACCACGGAACTTTATTATAAACATACAGTTCTTCCTGTGGGGTCTCACAATTATGTAGAGTGAGAACTCCCATAAGCCCTAGTTCTTCCCATAGACCTTCCCCGACTGATTATGTTCCCTTGAAGTTCCAGTCAGTCTTCATCAGTAGTTATATAACGAAATATGCTGGTAACAGTTAAAAACTCCAAGTCAGTGGAGAGAAATTAAAGAACTCAATAAGTAAATGGTTATGTCATGTTCCTGATTTGGAAACGCTGACAGCGTTAACATATCGCTATGTCTATTTTCTCCAAATTTAACTGTAGATTGAACGTAGTCCCAGTCAGCGTCCCAGAGGGCTTTTTTTTTCTGTAGAAATTGGTCAGCCAATTGTAATATTTTCATGGAATTCAAAGAAAACCCGAATACCTGAAACAATCTTGAAAAATATGAACATGGAAGACTAATACTACCTGATTTTGAGACCTACAGAACATTGTGGTAATCAAGACAGTGTGTTATTAGACTAAGGATAGAGGTCTGGATCAATGGAACAAAACAGTAAAAATAGACCCATTGATATGCTGTTGATGTGTGTGTGTGTATGTGCGTGTATCTGGGGAGAAACATCTTTTATTAAAATTTCAACTTGCAAATTAATGCCATACGTGGGGATTCTGATTTAGTAAGATCGAATTCAAGCATATGACAATGGCATGATTCCTCACAAGGAAGACCCTATGTCGGCACATCGTTATTTTCTCTATTATTTTTGCAGTGGCTTTAAAAAAATCCTCATTATTTATATTCATTTTATTTTTATCTCCACATGCAATCTTTCTTATTTAGCTGTCCCAGACTTCCCCCAATTCACTGATGTCTTTTTGAAAATTTATTCTTAACTATAGTTAACACAATATTATATTCGTTTCAGGTGTATAACAGTGATTTGACATTCATATACCTTATAAAGTCATCACCATAATAAGTCTGGTAATCATCTGTCACTATACATAGATATTACAATATTATTGACTATATTCCCTAGGCTGTACATTACATCACCATGCTGTTAACTGCTTTTCGAGAAATGTACCAAGGCAACCCAAGGGAAAGAAATTTGTTTTTCACAAACGTTACAGGAACAATTAGATAACTATATGGAAAAAGTAAATCTCTACCCTTACCTGTCACCAAACATTAAAATGTATTTTAGGTGGATCATAGATCTAAACGTAAAAGCTGAAACTACAGAGCTTCTAGAAGAGAAGTGTAGGATATCTTCATGACATTGGGATAATCAAATATTTCTGAAGACACAAAAAGTACTAATCATGAAAGAAAAACTTGATAAATTAAACTTCAAAATTAGAAAACACTTGCTCATCAAATGATACCATTAAGAACATAAAAAAGGCAAAACACAGACTGGCAGAAATTATTTGCATAATATAACTAACAGATTTAATATTTGGAATAGATAAAGAACTATAAATCAATAATCAAAGGAAAAAAAACATTAAAGTGGACAAAATAGTTGGACACTTCACACGCACAAAAAGATACTGGAATGGCCAATAAATATGTGAAAAGTAGCTTAGTCATCAGGGAAATGTAAATTAAACCACATCTTATATGACTACGAAGTCACTAGAATGGCCAAATAACAAAATTGACGGCAGTTAACTGTTAGCCAGAATTTTAAGCACCTAGAATTCTCATACATTGGCAGTGGGATAAAGTGGTACAGTCATCTTTGGAAAACTTTTGGCAGTTTTAATTTTAGACAAACACGTCCTGTATGACCCAGCCATTCTACTCCTAGGTATCTACCCAAGAGATATATCTACAATTGTCCACAAAAAGACTCATACAAGAATGTTTATAGAGCTCGTATGTGTACATCAATTTAAAATTTAGTTTAGAAATAATGAGTATAAAGAAATATATTTTCAGATCAACGAAAACTGAGTTTATCACCAGCATAACTATACTAAATGAACTTCTAAAAGATGTACTTCAGGAGGACAAGTTATTCCAATGCAAGAAGGGATGGTAAACAAAAAAAATTCTAAACACTTAGCTACATCTAAACAAAAACTGTTTCTGTAAGTACTAATACTTTTAATTTCAGAGGCTAACAAAATGGGACAGGACTAAAATCTTGGGCCACCATAGAATACAAGCTGGATATGAATATGCTTGCTATGTAAAAGTATTCTACGGTCCTTGTGTTATTGGGAGGGGAGATTAAGATATTACCTTTAATTTTTAATAATTTTGAAGGAAAACTATTAAAGGAAAAGAAATAGAGTGCATCACCTCCAAAACATAAAAATGAAGCATGTCGGGAGTATTGAATGTCCAATTGAATGTTTATTTTACTTGGAGGATGATTCAGTTCAGGCTATGGCGAGATCTTTGATTTTTTTTTCACCTCTTAATTTGAATCATTTTGCTTTGGTACTTCTACAAGGATTGTGTCTGTGTGAAAGAAAGATAGATATGTAAAATCTTTTATCATTTCTCCACGTTTTTCTTTGTGGTTACAAAATAAATTACAAATATTATATACAAAACTCTGGTCAGTTTTCTCATTAGGAAGTCAGGCCTCCTAAAACAAACATTCAGGAACCAGGAGGCTCAATACATTGGCTGAAGACTTAAAGAAGAAACCTCGTAAAGACTTCTAGAAAAAATACTCTGAGGCAATGAACACCTGGATCATGATACTCTCATATGCTTCAGCTATACTTGCCTACAATACCACTGCCTGCTTCCGCTTCTATGCTTGAGCTGTTTTCTCTGCCTGTAATGTCAAATTGCTATCATCTAGACATCTACTATTTGAAATTCTCATCATTGGAGACTCAGTGCGCTGAAACCTTCCATCCCTAAATTAATCGTTTCCTCCTTTGACCTCCCATGGTGCTTTGTGCTTTCTTATCTGTTTATATGTTTGTCTGGAATATCCTTTCCTTACTCCATTGACTGGCTATCTATTTTGAAATCTTGGCATCCAACTTAGATATCACTTCTCTAGGACACTGTTCCTGAAACCTCCAGGCTGAGTTACTCGCCTTTCTGGCACTGATCACAGTTGGGTTTGTTAAATGAAGGAATAAAAGGATCGCTGAATAGCTATCAGAACCCAGTTGAGGTTTAACAACACAAGTTTGTAGAGGACCAGGTTTGCTGCATCTTTCTACAATGATGAAAATGTTAGTTTTTCTTCTATGAGAGACCAAGAGTGCACAAAAGACATATACATCGTAAAACTCAGTTCTAATACTGGTCCTGCCTCCAGCGACTGCACATCTGTACCGAGGCCCTAAGGAACTACGCTCGAACATACTTTAATTCTTGTGGATGGAGTGGAAGGATTGCTGGTCCTTAAGCTTGGTTGGGTATGAATCACGGACTGAAGTTACATTAGGGAAGGAGCTCCTTTTGGAGTCGAAACCTATGAATTTAAATAGAAAAAGAAAACAAAAAGTGAAAGTTAGTGTTTAACCACTCTCCTAACATGATAGTACTAAAAAGACAAGTAGCCTCTCTAGAATACATATTATATTTAATGAATATCAATATAAAGGAATATTAAACACCAGATTAAAAAAAAAGAGGGAAAAAATAGACCCGTGAAGTAGTTGCTAGTGATCAAGTGTGAAATTAAGAATACCTAAAGAATGGTTCATGAGAAAGAGAAGGGAGTCTGTAGGTAGACATGGAACAGAGTAAATACACAATGGTATGTACGTATCTTTGATGAAATATTTTAGTACG